ATGGCCGGCTATATTAAAATAACGCGTTAAAAACTCTTCCCCACCGCCGCGGGGCCTGCACAGGAGGCTAGGTGGGTTCTTGTTGAGGTGTGACTCTCCTCAAACACAGGACCTCCGGCTTTGCATCCCATCCAAGGGATGTCCCTAACCCTGCCTAGGTAGTCATTTTCACCTGAGTCAAGTGAGGAAATAGGAAATAGGTGTTAAATGCCTTTCCCATGGGCAAAACTCTGGGCCTGTCAGGGGATCAAACCCAAAACAAATCGCCCAAGCCACAAAACCACCTTCAGGGCTGGAAATACTGGGTGCATGTGCACCTTAGTGCACCCAAATTTGGAGCTGTGCACCCAATTTTTTTCTGTGGGTGCACCAGTGCACCCAAATGTTTTTTTTGTAGGTTTACGTATATGTCAAGATCTTAAATTTAGAGTAGTACAGTAACTGGTATTCAGCATATTCTTAACATCTAGGTGTCAGAAAAATAGTAAAATCATTCTTGTAGTACTTGTTTTATCTTATATGGTGCACCCACAAAAAATTTTGTGCACCCAATTTTTTAGGTTGGGTGCACCAGTGTACCTATTCCCAAAAAATGAATTTCAAGCCCTGCCCTTACCACCTTTCACACAGTTATACAAATTGTTATAACATACTATATTAGGTCCATCGAAACTTGGTTAAGGTTCTTAAGGTTCAGTTGCACACAGCTTTCATCTGTCACATTAATCCCAAATGAAGCTCTGTATGAAAACACATTCCAAGACACAAGGACATCTGAAGGTCGTATATCTGTATCTGTCAGAACATATGTGTCAGGTTCATAGGCAACTGTAACCCTCCCATATCTCCATGGAAACAGAAAATCTGTAGCTCCCAGCATTTGTAGAAGTTATCCATCCTTAGGCCATGTCAATTTTATTTGTTGGTTCTTGGATTTATTAAAGAAAATAATGCTAAAAATACAAATATTAACTTGAAAACACGGCTGTACCTTGGCACATCCAGTTTCAGTAGGAACATTTTAATTTTTCTATTTGATGTCCTTGGGTTCAGGCAGGGAATGTACACTAATGTAAAAAGATGGATGTTTTCCTCCCTGCCTTCTGATTTCATCTAGACAACATGAATTTTTACTTTGAAATGTCCAGGAATCCTCGGCTCCTTGCACTCGCAAGGTTAGTGCATGGAGCCCTGTTACAAAACATATGCTACATGTATATGGCACCCAGGCTTCGTGCAAGAACCAAGGAAATAGATTGGTGTGGCCTTACACAAAGCTCATAGATTATAAAGCGCATTTCTATCAAATACACCTAACAAGCATTGTCAGGCAAGGACAACATGACTTCCAAAGCAAGCACTCTTTATTTTGAAATTCTCTACCCTTCTGGTTTATGGCATTCTCATGATGAAGTTGAAAGTGGTGTCATATCTCATCATTTTCACCCCTGGACAATCGCACAACTAGGTTATCGCCTGGCTGTGTTGTCTATCTGTGCTCGGAAGTCGAGCACATCTGTCAGCGGGTGACTCCTGTAGGCTCACCCTGGCCAACCTGTCAGGCCAAATTTCCTGTCCTAACCCCAGCTGTCACAGGAGGGACGTCTTTCTTAAGTCTCCCAATCCGTGCGCCTCGTCGCTCTTAAGACCGGCTTCGTCCTGACCGGACCACGGGGGTAGTATTTGCTGACATTCCTTTCACATGAAGAGAAAAACATTCCAGTAGATGACAAAATTCATTAGCTATAATCCTGGGGAGTCCTTGTTTACGTTGGTGTCAATGTTTTTTTGCCTGCGGGCCGTGCAGCATTAGTAAGCAGCACTCAGCGGTGATGTAACCGTCATGTCACCGTGTGTTTTGTGTAGGTACAAGGTGCAGTTGCTGGAAGCTAACGAGAGGATATCCAAGTACCAACAAGTCCAGGAGAAGGAGAGCAAACGGAGTGTCGAGAAGCAACTGGAGGAACTCAGACAGCTTCAGGTAGGGACCAATCTTTTCTATTACCAATACACATTCACATGTGTTGTACACATTCAGAAACTTCTCTGTAAATCAAATCTTCATTTTAGTAGTAGTTTGCAGATTGCATTGTTTTTATATGGTGTTACTAGTATGGTCTTTTTTGGACTCTCTGACACAGATCAATTTTTTGCTCATATATAGGACACAATCGTGAACGATAGTGCTCTCGATTAAGAAAACTGAAACGTTAAGTTAGTGATTGTGTGAAAGTGTATCTTGTCTTGATAGGAGAAAAACTTTTGTGTTACCTTCGTATAACAATGGGTTCATGTAGATTTAGAGTTAGGGGCTCCTGTGTCTTTCGACACAAGGCAATGGGAGTGTTCCAGCAAGTCCAGTCAAGGGCGAATCTCTAAATCCTTACAGTTAAGATTTACTGTCTTCAGGTCCCTCTCCATTGTACGGTGAAGTGTGTCTCATCCAAATCATAAAATTATAGCAGTTTTACGCAATAATCTTATTGAATGGTTTTCTGTCCTCCAGGACCACTTGAGCAGAGAGCGTCACCAGTGGGAGAAGCAGAAGAAGAGGAAAGAGCGTGAGCTTCAGAAGGAGGTGGAGTCCCTGGAGCAGGAGCGCTCCGAGTTCCAGCGCGAGAGAGAACACTTCCGTCACTCCCGCGACACCATGGGCAACACCGGCTCCCAGGGACAGTACCGGTCCGTGTCCAGCGCCAGCTACACCGAGGAGGACATCTGGATACAGAGGACTACCGGCGAGGGGAGCGACAACGAGGGCTCCTCCTCCAGTGCCTTCTACCCAAGCCCGGTCTCGGACAGCGGGCTCTCGAACGAGACGCCTCCGGGCACGCTGGAGAGGCACAGCTCCTCCTCGTCCCTCTCGCGCAAGACCAGCTCCAAACACATCCACGAAGTGCCTCCGCATCTCATGAGCGCGACCAATCAGGAAGCAATAAGGCAACGGCCAAAGAGCCCCCCGTTCAAGCAGCAGCTGCCGCTGAAGCTGGCCAGTCAGAGCAACCTTCAGCAGCAGCAGCAGGGGCTGGTTACAACCAACAATAACGTCCGGGACGGCGTCAGGCCGACCGTCAGTCCCGGGCAGCAGCAGCAGATGATACCAAAGAAACTTTCGAACAGCGGCTCCGGTTCGAGCCTGCACTCGGGCGGCTCCGGGTCCAGTCTACATTCCACGGGGAGCTCCTCCAGCCCCAACAGGGGGTCCTCTTCCTCCTCCCAGAGAAACTCTCCCCCCGGGTCCTCGCAGAGACACTCCCCGAACCAGCAGGTGATCCCGGGGAAGCTGGTGTCCAGCACGACGGTGGTGGCGCACAGCCGGACTCACTCGCTGCCGGTGCACTCGCACTACGACCAGCACAGCCCGCCGCCCGCACACAACAACAACGAGGAGCCGCCGGTCACCACGCCCACCTCACCAGAACAGAAGGTCATCTACTTCTGAATCAAGGCGCTTGTGAATGTAAGTAAAGTTAAAACCACTCCCACATGTACGCCAAAAAAAAAGTTACTCAGATTGTCATCTACTCCTGAAACAAGTCAAGGTGCTTGTGAATGTGAGTAAAAGTGAGACAACTCCTACCTTAGTTTCATTAGGAGTCTTACATATCATTTCCAGAAATTTCCAATGTTCATTTCATTTCACTTCCCATTAAATCATTCAGAGAGAAGTTCAAGATTAAATGACTCACTACCAGGCTTTGGGAAGCAGCTGGAAAGATTAGAAATTGGCCAAATAGGCAGATAGCATGCGGCAAACTGTACTCTCTCATGTACCAACTCCCCTGGCATATTTGTCTATTTTGCCAATTTCTGCCGTTTCCGGCCAGTTCCCTAAGCCTGGTAGAAACTATTGTCTTGCGTCAAAAGCTTCTCTGTAACACACAATCTAGTATGTGTAAAGACACAAATGTAATTTGGTACCTTTCAAACATTTTAATCAACCATTTCTTTCGGTTGTACAGCTTTTCAGTAGATCATTTGTCAGAACTCTCTGCATAGTGCATACAGTACACATTTTTAACACATGCCAATCTAATCATATGTGTAAGGCAGATGTACTTTGGTCCCTTTCAACATCTTTTTCAACCATTTCTTTCTGTTGTACAGCTTTCCAGTATATCATTTGTCAGCACTCATTGATTGCAGCCCACATATATCCTTGAACCCGTGCCAATAGATATCCAAATGTTTATCCTCAGGATCTGCTGCCAGACAAGTGTTGCATCCACCTGCAATATGCACCAGACCAGATAGAGGGCTCTGCTGTCTTAGGAGATATGCAAGGATGATGAGTGGCCAATTGCAAAGCAAAAGAAAAATGGCAAAAGCTTCTTAGTGTTACTCCAATATTGTATCAAATGATCGCTTAGAGATGTGATATTCTGTAGAGATGTAAATAATTTCGAAGTTATATAGTCTAAAAGTTATACCGATTGTATTTTACTATATTATCTTCATGTTGATATGATTTTTGTCGTTGGATTTGATATGTAAATCATTGCAAGTCCCCTTATTGTTTGTATTTCTGTTCTGTGTAAGATCGTATTACATACGCCCTGTAGAACTGCTTTTGGTCAACCTGTAATAGCAACTCAATGCAGAGGCTAGTTTTTATTCATAAGTTTAATATCCCAATGGGATTTAGTCTGTCAAAAACGAGACTTCAGCATAATGTGGTTCTGTTTCACTATGATGTAATATCCTCTATGTTGAACCATATATTATAATGGCTTATCCTTAGACGAATAAGGATGACCACATACTTGGCTGTAAGTGCCAGTGTACTTCATTTTCTAAGTGCCCTTTAGTGACAAATTTGATACATACTGTAGGTCTATAGATACCAATCATAATAATGTACACTTACAAATGTACTTTAATACTCACCGCAAAGACATTGAGGATCAATTTTTGTTTTAAGAATGTAGCATAAAAGATGCTTAAAGCTGCTTAAAAGTGTGTTAGTTGAGGTTGTACTACTTGTACTTTTTGTAGTTGATGCTGCCTATGTATGTTTAACATTCACTCCAAAACAAGTAGAGGTGTTAAGCTTCGACGCTTCCAATGTTGGGCAAGACTTATTTTTAGCAAGTTGCCATGTCTTTGTAATAAATAAATGACACATTGGATACACAGAAATTAAGCATACAGAGAGACGTACCAGTTAGATTTGCCCGGGACTCTTACAATTCTTCATTATGATGGCCAGAGTCGTGTCAGTAATAAACACGGGACTTGGGTTCACAGAAAAAAGGTCATACATTCTAGTAATGACCTGTGCGCTCATACATTAAGGTACAGTAACTGTTTGTATCGTGACATCATTTTTTTAAAGTGATGTACAGGCAAGGATTTGTGTAGACATTTATAATGATATACTGCTAGTCCCTAGGACAAGAGAGACAAACCATTATTTGCTACTTTAGTCTTAAATTATACCTTAAAGTTCATAGCTAAGCAATCTTGTATCCAGTATCTGTGTAGTTGAAGCATATCTGGCCAACAGTGAGCCTGGAACAATGCTAAGGTATTCCTTCGCCGCCAGTGCCAATAGCAAAAAACGGTGGGCAGCAACGTAAAACTCAGACCATTCCATTGTGAATAGTAAAAAACTAGGTGCTCCCAGTCTGTATGATATTGTAATTTACAAGGTAATTATTATTCGCTTGTGTGCTGAAGGAAATCGCGTAGAGGACAACAACTTGGATTGATTAAATTCCACCTTTATTTCATATTCTTGTGTCTCTGTGCTTTTTACATGTATTTGTTTTTGGCCACTTCAATCTCATTTCATGGTTGTAGGATACACCTAATACACTTACATTTGTATATAGATCATCTGTATTGCTTACAACATGAATCGACCCCAAACATTCTTTTGCTTTGGAACCAACAGTCAAAGAAAATCCTACTGGTAGATTTTGCCATGTATTCATTGAATGTTACCAGCTTACACTAAGTACACAAGTCATGTACCTTCACTTTGAGGCTCCTGAAGCATTAGTGTCAGCAGAATGCCTAATATGTTTTCTGTCCATTTGTTGCACTTTGCCCACCGATATTGTGTATCCTGCAAAAGTCCAAGTTAGAAATTAAATTGGTGTGCCCTTTGGAAAAATTCTGACAATTGTCCTTTTCTCTTCAAAGGAATGTACATTTTGTAGCTTTGAAACTCTTGACATGTACATAAAATCCTACATATACCCTGTTAACTTCTTCAGAAGTACTACAGGTATTTAGCTTCGAAGTCCCCCATGTCCAACAGTGAGTTGAGTCTGAGTTCCGACAAGCGGAAGTCTCTCTTCCCAGCAGCAATTCTCCATCGTAGCTCCTCCATATTCTCCTCCAGGGACCGCTTTCTGGGCTGGTTGGTCAGGTCCAGGAGTAGGTCTTGCCCAGGGGGGCTTGGCAGTGGTTCTCTCTGGAAGCAGAAAGATCACAATGGGACACATTAACCTCCATGCAACCAAACCCCATCACTAATATACATGTGAAAAACACTGATTTCTATCTGTAAAGTACATGTACAACCGCAAGGAAAGATAGTGAAAAATCAACGTGCGGAAAGGGCACTGTAAATACTTAATTCAGAAAGGCAGGGGCTACATGTTACGCTGAACTGTACCCAAAATAACTGCTAGAGGCAACAACTGCACTATGCATTAAACTTGAACCGTCCTGTTACGAACTATGTGGAACTGAAATGATTGATTATGCTCTATGTAAACTGGTGGACAGGCCTGCATTACCAGATACTGAACAGGTGAGAGTTGCAGGAAATAAGATCCTAACCATTTGTGAAGTGCCATCCACCATGTCCTCTGGGGAACTGAAAGGAGAGACCCCTTGTGGCTGATGCCGGTACTGCCCATCCTCGACATAACCCTGCAGCTGGTCTTCATAGCTGGGGAAAAGAACAGCATTTCAGATGAGGACTCCCTGTCCAAGGGGGACAAACTTAGAACAAAGTAGAATCTTCTAATACATGTACCAGCTCAGAATAGCCGTGTCTTAATATGTACCAGAGTTGTCGCCCAGAATTTACGAGTTTGTAAATCATAAAACACTAGAACTACATGACTTGTGTACAAAGTGTATGGTAAAGTGGAAGTACAGGTTAGATGTGTAACAGGCATACTACAACCACACAGAAGAGACACATGTATCGCTGAACACAAGGAGATTACCTTTTAGTCTGCACTGTTTCCTGGGCAATTTTCTTCCTGAGTTCCTGGGCCTTCCTGATGAGAGCAGACACCGCAGGGGACAGTCTGTCCTCCAGCTTCAGGCTTCCTTCTGATGGGGAGACATGGGAAAGTAAAAGTGATTAGTGAAAATATGAAAGTGATTTCAAATCAGTATGGCTCACGGAGAAACTTGGATCTTCCACTGGTCGTAACAGAGAAGACAGAGTGTACAGTACTAAAAGTCTTACAGGTTCATTGTAAAGGATAAAATCCCTTTTCATTGAGCATTGAGAAAGTGATGAGTGAAACACTGAGCGATCTCAAAACAATTTAGCTCACTGAGAGAAGAGCTAGGGCACGGTATACAGGAAGGCAGAGCCCAGCCCTCTCCTTCCACCGGCTTTTATCTCCCCAACTGAAGTCAGGTACCCATTTTATACCTGAATGATTTGGGAGGACTTGAACCTACATAACAACCCACAGGACAGAGGCAAGTGGCAGGCTGCCATCAAGCCCCAGTATTGCTACATGCAAGCATGTCTAACCCTCGGAAGTACGGAACAATAGACAATAAACTGGAGAGAGAGTGAGTGAGTGGGTGGGTGGAGTGAGGAAAGTTGTGTTAAGTTGCTTTCCCATGGACAAAATTTCTATCCATGAATGCAAGGAATCAAACTCTTGACCTCTCAACCTCATGTTCCTTCACCTACCCACAACACAACACAACACAACACAACACAACACAACACATGAAATTACACATGTAGCAGCACTAAACCAGATGGGATGTGACTGACCTGTTTTGTCTGGTGTGCCAGTATCTGTTGTCTGTACTCTGGACAGCTCCAGGTGTTTCCTCCTCACACTCTGCTCTGTCATTACAACCAAACTGTACAGCAAAAATGACAGAGACCAATTAGTGATACAACAAACATACTGTTGAAGCATACCGTATTTTATAAGTAAACTGTGCATTCGTAATAGATTGTGCAGCCCCTTTTCACTCGTTTCAGTGAATTATACTGCAGTGTTCAATCAAACGCTGGCTGTCATAATGTGGCGGAAGAGACACTCCAAAACAGTAATACATGTACTTCGAACATGAAAAGTTTTCAATGCATGCAGTCTATTACAGAAGATCTCTCTCTTCTCTCTTTTACAGAAGATAGTACATGTATATAATATATATATTATATTATACTAGTACTGAGTAGTTATATACTTCATAATGTTTATGGATTCATTATGACTTCAATCAAGTTTTATCTGACCCTGACCACTTCCCTCATGACTGAAAAATACAGCCAGATATAAACAAACAAAAACAACAATGGAATATCCCAGGGTCCAGTGTACCTGTGTGGCTGCCCCAGGACCTGAGCTGAAGTGTTCCCCACTGCCACTCTCCACTCTGTGGGCTGGGTGAAGGTGGACAGTTCATCAGGGAGGTAGTGTACAGTCAACACACTGCCGTCTGCATGGGGACACAATAATAGAAACATCAGAGTCTGTTAACAGTTTCATCAGGTTGGGAAATCACTGGATATAATTTTTTTTAAACACACAACCAATACTCAGTATATAAAGGTAACGGGTAAAGGTACAATGTAGTTAATCTGGCAGGGATGACAAACAGTGAAATAAAGACAAGGTACTAGAAAAAGGTAGTCCCATAGCCTTTTGAGGCTGCAAGGGCAGTGGGTTGTTATTCCACTGTGTCTAGGGCACAGTATTGGAAGGCGGATCCCATCCCTCTCCTTCCAGTGCCATTTACCTCCCCAAGGGATGTGAAGTACCTATTTTACACCTGGGTGGAGTAAGGAAAGTCATGAAAAGTGCTTTTCTCAAGAACATAACATCTTGCCAGGAATGCCAGAAATCAAACTCTTGAGCTCATGTCTGAGCCTAGCCTAACTACCCGGCCATTCGCCACCACTGTAAAGAAACTTATTAAAACAGGAAAGCTGAGTACAAAGAGTAGCAGACACCCCTACCTTCCCCTGCCCAGTCCAGCCTCTGTACCATGTGCCCCACCCACATCTCCACGAGCCTGGTCCAGGGCACATGGCAGGCCGTGGGTTCACAGTCAGGGACGTCGTAATCCAGGTAACATGTGTCCTCAAACTCTGTCTGCACACGGTCTAACAACCAGCGCAGTCTGGGGACAGGCATGGGTTACTTTACATCGTATTAGTCTTGCAAACAAAGGTACAGATAAACAGATGAAATAGACTTAAAACATGGATCCAGAGGGTCACGATTTCATAACATTCAACATCTTGACCCTCTGATATGTTATTTCCTGCAAATTTTTGCTGGTAGGCTACATGTAAGTTTAGATATCTTTACATGCCAATTTTTGCCCTTCAAAGATGGATACTAATGGGCAAATTGTTTTGAGCAGCAAATTCTGTCACATGACGGAAAGATGGACACTGGCTTGAACACTAGTTACAAATGTAGTACAATGATGCAAATTTGTATGTATTGACTCAACAGCATTCCAGACTGATTTAACCTTATAAATACTGGCACAATCCACTGAATTTGAATCGTCAGCTTTTCTCAAAAGTACCTGTTCCAGGAGTTACTCACCTGGTAAGAAGCACAGTCTGCTCCTTGGAGTCGGCAGGTAAGGAGAGGGTGTAGTCTGTACAGTACTGACACACAGACGACCAACTCTCTGTCAACACACAAACACAAGCTGGTGAGGATAGACAATGGTCGAGTGCTCTGGGGACACATAATTTTTTCCTGGATGTCTGCATGCGTGTATGTATGTGGATGTCTGCATGCGTGGACTGTCTATTTTCTAAATTGTTATATACGTGTACAAATGTACATGCAAAAATGACCACAAATGTCTCTTGGCTACAGGAGCATGTCAGCAAAGCATACTGCATGATTTTTCAGTGGTTGCAGATGATAACTTTTCCGACACAACACTTGAAAACTACAGACGGGATGTCATCCTTAATACACAAAGACGACCTCAAATGAGGCATTTTGCCAAAGTGCTGTGCACAATACTTTTTGTACATGTAGAGCACCTACCATCTACATCCATGTACGGGAGAGGGGGCAGTCTCAGGGCCAGGATTCTCTCCTGCAGCAGGGTCAGCTGGGCTTCACTGTTCCACTCCAGGGACAGGAGGTCTGGATAGGGATGATGAAGTGGAAGAAAGTTACAGGTCTGGACAAGGAAGTGGAAGAAAGTTACAGTCATCACAAACCAGTTTAGCTCAGTAACTCAATGAACAGTTGAGCTACTCTTTCACTGGCCATGACAAAGGCAGACAATAGTATTTACAGGTTCAAGAGAAATTCCTTGAGGTCATGAAAGAAAGGTAAACCATATTATATGCATTAAGTCATCACAGACCAGTTTGGCTTAGTGAACTCAGTGAACAGTTGCACTGCTCTTCCAATTTGGTCATGATGAGAAGACAGATGCTGTATGTACAGTATTACAGGTTCATTGTACTGTGGAAATGTCTCTAAGTTAAATTAGAGATCTGTAAAATTCAATGGACAGTACCTGTTCTGTGGCCAGCCGTGACAAACTCAGCCACCGGCCAGGACAGGGCTTGGAGACTGTTAGAGCTGGCCACTCTAGCCAGGTGCTCCACTAGACTGTTGTACAGGCACACGATCGGGCCAGGGGTCTGCAACAATGGACATAAAGAATGTTGCATGGACTACATGTATGATGTATCCAAATATGAACCCAAACATATGTCAGGTTTTCAACCTACGGTATCCAGGTATGAAGCTGTTTCGATTCTGTAAATTTTATGCATTGTAAGTCCTAATTTAAGTGTGATGGAAGTGTATTTTTAAATGACACAAGTACAAGACTTAGAGTGGGATAAGTCAACCCAATTCAGTAATGCACATGACTGCCAAGTTTGATTTTGATTTGTTTGATTGCAGGATCAGAGGACTGATTAAAAGCTTGTTGGCAAGTACTTTACATTTCGTATAGAATTTACGTATAAAAAATCTTTACGTCAATTACTTTTAGTTACAGATAGACATTATAAAGCAAGTTTAAACTGTAATTTCCAACACAACAAATTGGACTCACCCAAATTTTCGACTGTACAACTCCAGATAGACATATTTGAATATAGCATTCATTGCTTATAGTGACAGTGAATACACATTGATTGTTCCATGTCTTCACTCCTGACCTGCTGTGGCAGCCCTGCTTGTCTCCTCTGAGCTGAGTCCTGGTACACGACAGACGAGAACTCTCCTGCCAGGCTGTTCTCTACATAGTCTCTCAGGTCCTCAGTCTCCAGACACGGGGGGAGGGGGGCACGGTCTGCTAACCAACTCAGACCCTCACATAGCTACAGGGGAAAACAAAAGAATATTCTTGGTTAGAACAAGAAATTTTGAGTGTCCATATATCTAGGCTGTTCTCTATGTAGTCTCTCAGGTCCTCAGTCTCCAGACATGGGGGGAGGGGGGCACGATCTGCTAACCAACTCAGACCCTCACTCAGCTACAGGGGAAAACACAAGCACGCTTTCACATCCAGGCCTTTCACAACATACATGTAGTCTAGAAGGACCTCAGTCTGCGGCTAACCAATTTAAACCCTTACGCAGCTACAGGGGAAATTACAAAGCATGAACAAAATCACTCTTAAATATTCTATGAGATTCTGTGTGTCCAGAGCCAAGACGATCAGATATGGCACCCCATTATGTAGATCAGAAAATACAAACAGACAACACTCCCCAGTCCATAGTTTTGTTTTTTAATTTTTTGCAGTGACCTCACCAGCATGAATTCATGCCACAACTAATAAGCATTTCTGGTTGCATTACAGTATTACTAACTATACTAAATAATTGTTGCAAATACAAACTCAAAATGCCACAAAAATCTTCTTTCCTATTTCATCGCAAAATCAAGACCCTGTGTTAAATATACATGGATTTAGAGTACCCAGGCCACATGTTACATCAGTACTAGTATGTCACTGCAACACTCACCCTTCTGCAAGTGTCCTCGTCCTCCACATCCCTGCTGACGTCCACGACGCGACAGTCTGACACCAGCTCCCCCTCCATCAGCCCCCGCACATCCAGGTGCTCCCCGACGTCCTCCCCAGGGTCTGTTCCCCACCCCAGGGGCAGCACCAGCAGGGGCAGGCTGGGGTGGAGGGGCTTGGCCTGCAGCAGGCGCACCAGGCGCAGCTGGCTCTCTAACCAGTAGGTCTGGCAGGGGCGACAAACAGTGAAATAAAGACAAGGTACTACAAAAAGGTAGTCCCATAGCCTTTTGAGGCTGTGAGGGCAGGGGGTTGTTAACCCACTGTATCTAGAGCACGGTATTGGAAGGTGGAGCCCTTTTACTGCCTTTCACCTCCCCAACCAAAGTTACATAATGTTTGTAGGTACCTATTTTACACCTGGGTGGAATGAGAAAAGTCCGGTTAAATGCCTTTCCCAACGACACGTCTAGCCAGGAAAGCAAGGAATCAAACTCATGACCTCTATATCTGGTGCGTCTGTGCGCTTAGCCACCCAGTCGTTCTGACTTTTACTGACGTTCTGACTTTTAATCTGACATTATCCTTGTTCTGTCTCTACTTGTGTTATTACCGAGAATGAGTCTGAAGCAAGTGTAACCTGTATTTATTTATTGTTACAATAATTATTGTCCTGTAACCATGGTAACTGACCTCCTGACTGTCCTGGTCCCCTGGAGGAGGAGGCAGAGCCAGGATGACGGCTGTGGTGCCCAGTAACACGTGTTCACTCTCCACTTCATCTGCTGCCTCCTGGTCTAACAACCCATGCACAGCCTGGGGGCAAGAACAAAGTGTCATGGTGAAACATGTTAACAGCCTATCTTTCAACAACACAGAACCTACAAGATACTGAGAGAGCGGGATCTTTCCTCTTGCACCGTTTCAAGAAAATATGTTATAAATAATATGTTATATACTAGAATTCCGAGATCTCATACCTCCATGAAATATGATCTTGATATGTAAATGTAAATTTCTTCTTTAATTGTGCAAATGACCTCTGCATTAACATGATATATGCATCGTGATGTATGTTAACTTTTGATTAACTTACAGGTGTCCCAAGTATGACATTCTCATCATTCACCATTACGAAATCATAGAATTTTCGCATTAATTATGCAAATTAGGTCATCATTTGCATAATTAGTATCTGTTGAAGTTCCACCTGCCATAGGTTACATACATTACATGTATGTAAGTAGTATAATGTAAAACACTGTAATCATAGAATTTCCTCATTAATTATGCAAATTAAGTCCTCATTTGCATAATTTGCATTTAATTATGTACATCTCTCTCTCAGCTACCTACACACCAAAAATAATGAAAATATGTTGTTCCTGTCTGGACTTTTGCATTAATTATGCAAATTAGGTCATCATTTGCATAATTAGTATCTGTTGAAGTTCCGCATGCCATAGGTTACATACATTACATGTATGTAAGTTGTATAATGTAAAACACTGTAATTACCTCCATGAAATGTGTCATGGAGGTTATATTTTCAGTTGCGTTTATCTGTCCGTCCGTCTGTCCGTCTGTCCGTCCGTCTGTTGGTCAACAAGATAACTCAAGAACGCCTGGATGGATTG